TATTTAATTTTTTATCTATTTAATTTAATTTATTATTTAATTTATTAAACTAATAGTGTCAAGACGAAAAAAGCAGATCTGCGGACGGACGTAAAACTGGGAAAAACAGTGCAATAATTACTTCTTGATGTCTTGTAATTGTAATTGTATGTTAAATTCTATGTTATTGAATGGTGCGTAAGATGCGCAAGGATATCTTGTCTTGAGGCAAGACGTAAAAATACGACAAAATACGACGAAAAAAAAAGCGTCAAAAACGTACGAAATTACTGTGCATAACTTTTCGTACAATTTCATACGAACTGATAATGAAAATACACTGATAGTGTTGATGTAGTTTTAGGCCTAAAACTAGCAAGCAAACAAATGTGACTTGTTAAAACTGTTTCCCAGAAATAACCTGAACAATAAAGTGTTGTTTGAAAATATTCTTTCAGTTTCTGTTATTCTGTTTAATGCGTTTTTGGTTGACACAAGTTGTTTATCTTTGCAAGCTGCTATACAAAGAAACCTTCCAACAACAATTGCTCCAGGTTTCTTGGCCTGACGTGAAAATATCTTTGTCATGATCATTCTGGTAAAGCTCGTAAATCATCCGATTCACCAGTTTCCTCACTTGGGCGGTAAACTATCCACGTTGTTTCATGGTTAGTCGTAAGCCTGCATTTTCCCACAATGCTTTTAGCAATGCCATTTTCACAGCCTTCTGTTGCATTTAATTGGTTTCTGGAGGAATGCAGATGGTAAATGTAGATGACCCTTATTAACCCGTACAAAAAACACCAAAAACTTTACTGAATTAAAAAGGTTTAAAATCCCAGTTTCACTGTTTAAATCAGATTAATACAACAAACATCATGTATTGTGTGTTTTCATCAATCCTAAGAACACGCTAAAAGAATTTTCCAGAATTTTAACTAAACACTGATTTGACAGATGAAAAATAAAATCAGAACGATAACAGTAAAATAAATAAAATCATCCCCCAATGGCGGTTCTTCAATGAGTAAAACTATTTATCATTGTTGTAGGATTTAGTAATCTATGTGTAATCGGAAATATGACAAGCAACCCTTCTCAGCTTCTTTTGGGAAAATTTGCATGTTTGGTATAATTACATAGAACGTCACCTTGGGTTACATAACCTTTAAACTCTTCCGCTTAGAAGTGAAAGCATTGGTATGGTTTTACATAAGCCTGTATTTTCCCATGGTGTTTTGAACAATAGTGTCATTGGCAGTAATCTTTCAGAGTGAAATATTTTAATACTCCTTCCTGTGTGAATTCCATTTTACTGCTATCTGTTGATGTTAATCAGTCTGAATGAATAAGGTGCCAAAGAAGAGTGAAGAGATGCCTTTGCTGGCCTTTAGAAAACATTGAAAAGAATGAGGAGGTTTAAAAGTCACCCTCAACATTTTAGTTAGATTGATTCAACAAACAACTTATGTGTGTTTCATAAATCCCAACAACAAACTTATTTCTCAGAGTTTTAATAAAAGGTTTATTTGACAGATTAGTGAAATAAAATCAGAACAACAATTAAATGAATAAAAAGTCTTCCAAAGATAGTCCTTCAATGACTTACTTAAATTATCCATCATTAATGTTCCATTAAAGCATTATTAAGGATTAGATTATCTGTTCATTTCTGATCTAACATGCAACAAATCAACTGACAACAGCAACAATTTATTAAAACTGATTCTCTAAAAATATATGGGTTGGAAAAAAAGTCGACATCACTGCTATGGTTTATGTTAGACCTTGGAGAGTAATGGAAGTACTGTTTTAAAACTATGCACTTAGTTGTCCTGCAAATGCTGATGATAAGGTTGGGCAAGTAGAGCTAAATAATGTTAGACTTTATTGTGCTTAACCTGGGTAATAGTTCTTGGGAAAGTTTTCACAGAACTCTGTGAATATGTCTGTCTTACTGTTAAAGGTCCAATCAAGCTTTTTTGTGAGGTTTTAGTACGAACTTTTGTTTTTTTTTATCATCCTGACAGAGATTTGTCCTCACTCCAAAAAATAAAAATCTAATTACAGTAGAATTATTATTATTATTATTTTTTTTTTTTACAAAAGTAGCAGATAAGAACTAACAGGTGTGTTATAGTAAAGGATAAATACTGGTCTATAAGATATTAACTCAATTGTTTAATGGATCTCTAGGGAGTACATACTAAAAGTAATGAAAACAGGAAAATATTGCTAAAATAATTTCTGATCTAGAGTTAATCTTTGCCCTGGTATGCAGTATCATCTTATTCAAATAATGTGCTAAACACATTTGAATTTCTTGCAATAAAAATTGCTTCTTGCTGGATTATTTTTAATTTATTCTAAGAATAAATTTATATTAGGAGTAACATTATGTGGACAATGGTTACTGTCCTAAAAACAACAAGTCATGGTTAGAAATCAACTAACAAATAAACCAAAAAAATAAAACGTGTATTACGACACTAGAGAAAGTACATAATCTTGATGTCCAGTCCCACTGACATCATCTTGTCTAGGAGTGGAGGACAGATCAGACAAATATTCAAACAATTTTGTTTCATAATTTTCAAAAAAAGGAAACAAAAACATGTGATGACCAAAAAAGAAGTAAAACCAGAAATACAGAAACCTGCTTTGAAGAAATACTGATTCATTCAATACATCATTGTTCAGAGCATTTCTGGGAAAGAGTCCAGAGACCTGAGAATTCAAAACAATAAGATGTCTATCTGTAAGCAGATAGGCATCATTCATTCATTCATTCATTCATTCATAATTTATGAAACAGCTAGAAATAACAGGTTAACATGTGGTGTACAGCTCAATATCAAAGTTTTTTTTTTTAGGTTATTGCAGCACTAGTGGCTCCTTATTGGAAAGCACATGTAAGACAGGAGAGAGACATGTGGCAAAGGACCACAAGCCAGATTCAAACCCAGGTCAGCCACATCCAGTGCTTCCGTACATGGGCAGAGCGCACAAACCATTGCACTAACAAAGAACAAACAATGTCAAAGACTTTTAGATATACAACAATTCTATCTTCTTTGTATGAAGTATAATTTCATATCTATTGACACAAAACCTAGTATTACAATCAAAAAGTGTAAAACAAAAATTAAAATTCATCTGTGATATATTTTTGCTATTTCGCTCACTGAACTATCTATGACAACTCTGTGCTTTTTTTTTTTTTACATATTAAATTTCAGGCAAATTAATTGGTTGGCTTAGTTGTTTTAACAAACCATGCACTTTGTCAGGTGCAGTTATTGAGTGTTTAATCTTCTGTTTTTTACTTCCTCATACAAAAATCTACTGAAATCAGTGTTTAACTGTAAACCCTAAATCTTTAAAAAAATAAATCTATAAATGCTGTTCTCCAGGTTTTATCTCTCTTTCTCTAGATGTAATCAACAGCAATAAAGATTTTGCTTTATCAATTATAAAGAACCTGGCCAACAGAAATAGCCTCAGGGCATATAAAGCTTCTTTACAATAGAGTTTGCTTCAAACAAAAAAACACATTCTACACTTTAATAATTTCTGGGAATCAAGTTATTTATTAATTAATGCATTAATATTCTTACTTTCTGGTCAAAGTGACCAGAGTCAAAGGGTTAGATCAGCAAGAAATCTTTGTGCAAACTTTGTTCTGTTCTCAGCATAGCTTAATGATGCTATTAATAAAGCCATCATTATATTTGTTTTCTGAACATAAATTTGTCATATTAAGAAAAAATATTATCATACTGTAAACATTAAATATAAATATATGGTCAGTTCAATTAAATCATATAAACAAATTCTAAGTCAGTTGCATTTCAATTTGATCCCACATCAACAATGAGACCAAATCTATCCTTGGGGTTTGGTAGGAAAAAACAAAAAAAAGGCATAGGCTCAGGATTGCTTTCTTTGCTCAAAAATTTGAAGATGTTAAGGCAGAAATAGCTCGTTTAATGGCTTTAGCAGGTTTGGAGAAGGCATAATTAACGTTTCTTAGAGAAAAATACATCTGTTTCGATTTTTACAGTTATGTATATGCTCAAAACCCAGTTCAGGGACTTTTTATGAGCAAAAGAAAAAGGAGTAAATACTATAAGGTAGGGGGAACTAAGGAATAGCAGGGTTCATTATATTGTATTTGCTGAGTAAATAATACAGATTTTGTTTTCTTAGAAAAAAAAAATCATAAAATAAAAATCTAATCAATTTTAAATAACCTCTTTGTCAAAACTTTAGCCTTTTTTAGGGTTTTATAAAATTCATCTCTACTGAAACCTCTTATGGGCAGTGACTGAACAAATTCGGATAAAAGTTAATTCTCAAAAATCAACCCTCTCAAATAGAGAGTTATTTTTAAATGCCCGATGGAAGATAAGCGAAGCAATAATTTTTTTAATGTTACATTATCATGCAGTAAAAAAAGTGTTAACCTTTTTAAGATGAAATGGATAAAACAGAGTTACACATACTTGTCTAACAAAGTTTGTCATTAGCAAAAGATGATTTAAACAGCACATCGTTGTTCCAAGAAAAGACCTTACCAGATCATTCATTACTCTTTATAAACTGTGTGTAAATTTTGTAAAGCTTGAATCAATGATTTACTTGAAGGCACAGTTTACATTTGCTTTTTTTATTATGATTTATTTGAATACCTCTAGGTATAAAAACTTTTGCTGACTTCCTAGATTATAAAAGGTTTGAATCTACTGACTCCATCCGACTCGTATTTAAGTATTTTTCAATACCTAAATTCATACCTGCTTAAATTAATACTTGCCCATAAATGTATCTACATAATGTCATTAAGAGATGATTATTATTAAGATAAGACAATTAAGATGAAGGTAAGAAAAGGAAACAGTAAAATTGAACACCCTTACTTTATACATAATATCTATACATATGTGTATGTATATTTTTATTGTATGACACAAAATATGACATTAAAAAAAAAAAAATATATATATATATATATATGCTCTGCACACTCATCAGCCAGTCACTTGAAATGGTTTTCAAACAGTCCATAGGGAGTTAGGGTACCTCCTAGAGGTAGTAGTAAAGCTGAAGATGAACCATACATATCTTTGTTTATAATACAGGTTTGATGCAACAAGGCTGATGATATTCAATATTCTTATTCTCCAGGAAAGCAAATACAAGCAGAAAAGAAATGCTAAACATTATTATCTAATCTATTATTTCTCTACAATTTATGTTTTACCTTAGATGGATTTCTTTTTGATGAAACAACATGCAAAATGTATTTCACACTAACACACCAAGTTATGATGCTTATTACATTTATCTAAATATATATTTATTAATGTTTTACAAATTGGTAAATATTTAAATAGGCAAAGTGAACACCCAGACATTGATATTAAGACTGATTATTGTCATCTGTTATTTGTTCAGAAGTAGAGGAGTTTGTTAAGCTAACAGTTTCTCTTCCTGAGTCTGTTGATTCATCTCTTTCCAGAGTTTCATCAGTCTGTGTGTCTGGAGGAGGGAGATCATGTTCAAAGGCAGGATTTGTTTGCCCTTCTCTATGCCGGTTCTTAATTTCCTCAAAAATCTGAAGGACCTAAAAAGACAAAAACAAAATTAATAGATCCAAAAAAACTAACAAAAAAGAAATGTATTCTACATTATACAGTACTATACTAGATTGGTTTTCTATTGTTACCTTGGATTTTGGAATGAGTCCCACTCTAAAGAAACCAATTTGTCCAGTTTCAATCTTGGTGCAGTCAACAACAGTAGACGCAATATTTTCTGGGGACGGTCCATCACACAACACCCCTTCCACCTAAACAAAAACCCAAAACATATTTGTTACAAAACAAGAATTTGTTCATTTTATTGATGAACTCATCAGAACTAAATCCTGGTTATTACCTTTTTACCCAGTTTGGCATACACTTGGTTATGGTGAGTTGTGTCTGCTTCACCTGTGGGGTTGGCTGAGGTGACTGCAATTGGACCCACCTTTCAGAAACAAAACCAAGTCAATCAATAAAGTTCTGTTTATTTGAACTCTGATGGGTTTTGGTTCCTGATATTGGAGTTTACCAGATTAATTAGATGTGTGGCTACTGCACAGTCTGGGCTTCTGATGGCAATGCTTTGTGGAGTTCCAATGTGTTGGGCAGCATCTCCCAAACCAAATATATCTAACCAAGGACCTGTAAGAGTAAGCCCGCGAAACCCATAAAAATTTTTAAAAAGTACTTTTCTAAATGCATATAAAGTCTCATCTGAAAATATTGACTCTCTCACCTCTGGGTATGACCATGCTAATTGATGAAGGCCATGCAGCCTCCATGAAGTCGAGGAGCAGAGGGCTCAGCAGGTGTCTAACAGGCTCCAGCTGCTTGACAGAAGAGATCCACATAGACATGGGTCGGTCCTGAGCCTGTTTCTTAACCCTAAAACCAAACAGCAGTGATTCTTGATGGGGAAATAAATAACTGTGACACTCTGAGACAGTTTCTCTATAATGAGACTTACTTGTAAGCTTTGATAACTGCATCTGGCCTGTTGCAGGCAGCTACCAGCACATAGACAGTGTCAGTTGGCATTCCACATATGCCTCCATTTTTCATTATTTCTGCATCCAAAAAAAACAGGGAACAGTGTAAAAGTTGAGTCCAGGTCAAACTTCAAAACAGCTTTAAGCAAAAAAATGATAAGTTATGTATTTCTACCTGCAATCTGCTGGACTGATGATGCTTTGCGAGCTGGTACATGAGGACAGACTCCTTCCCCTCCTCCGACCCCACCCAGCTTGACTAAAGGTTTTCCCAAAGGGATTTGGGGAGACTGGAATGTGCTATTAAAAAGGTGCGCCAAAAAACAGTAAAAACTGACAAGACCAAAGATGATTGTGACGCCAATATCATAACCATAAGGCAGTGCACCTATTGCATCAAGCAGGAAGCTGATTAGGATGAGCTGGAAAGTAAATGCATAGATGAACCAGGCAACATTCAGAAATAAAGCTGCAATTGTCACCAGAAGGTTAAACAACATGAAGCTAATAATCCCAACAGCTACGTTAAAGCTTCTGGTCTCACCATAAAGACCACCGAATCGTGTTAACCCCCATACTGTCCACATCACCCCATAGAGAATAAAGGCTGTGCTCTCAAAGGTTTTACCCCGAGCAAATGCCACAGAACCACAAAGTAGCTGCAACACTCCACCAGCCATTACGGCCCAGGGTAGAACCAACACCTCCAAGGGATTCCTGTCTCCAATGGTGGCTGTAATGGCAAAAGCAGCCAGAACATTGCAAGCATGGCCCAACACTTCTGCATCTGCATACTTGGAATAGCCAAGATGAGGCGTATGTTGCTCTTTATCGAGAGCCCTGAGAGTAAGAGTTTTAATCCTATTTACTAAAGATTTAAAGTGACCCTGCCCAGTAGGAATCTTGCTACTATAGACCATGTTGAATGTAGTAACAAAAAGCATTCCTGCAGTAGCTACAAAGATGGCTCCCTGTACACCCTGAGTGCCTCCCTGGAAGAAGCCTTGAGGCTGTGCTGCGATGGAAATACAATAGGCTACATAGAATAACTGGTAGAAGCCCTCCAACAAGCTCTTCTGACAGCTGAACAATGCCAGGACAGAGAAAAGAACTGCAAAGACAACAGGGAAAGGGACAGGAGAGAATGGCTGGATGGAGTACAAAGATAACAAAGCACTGTAACCCTCAGCAAATTTCAGCAGGGATGTAAAGCCATAAAAAGTTGCAGCTAGTATGTCCATAGCTCTGTAAAAGAGGATGCACATGCCGAGCTGGAAGACTCCAGCTGTCCAAAGCCAGGGGACGTGGCCAACAGAGAGTTTGGGGACCACGCCTAACAAGGGACAGGCTAATACAGACGCAGATAACAAGTTCATCACCAAACCTACACTGACTGCATCGTCGCAGCTCTGGTTCTTTTCTGTTTTCAGCTCAGATTTCTGTTTCATAACTGTACCTGGAGGTTTAATTTTACCCTGCGTGATGGTGTACAGCAAACGACCAAAGCCAAAGTAAGCGCACACAAGACAAACAAGGAGGTAGTTTGCAGCTGTGGCAGACTGACCAAATCCTGAATCTGAAAGACCAGCAATTTGATGGGCACAGGCCAAAGAAATGCCTATAGCTATGATTAGTAGTACTGGTTTCTTTACGAAGAGGGCAACAGTGCCTATGATGAAGAGGGCTAAGGTAAATGCTGCAAGGCCAGGGATCAGAGAGGATTTTAGCTCAGAGAGTGGCAGTACACTCTGTCCTATCAGGATGTAGACCAGACCAGAGCCACACCAGAGAGCAGAGATGGTCAGACATAGAGTGGAAAACAACTGGGAGTGAGAGAGACTGTGACGAACTCCTGGAAAGAGACAAGGTAGGGTCAGGAGCCTGGAAACAGGCAGAGAATTCAAATGTGTTTGGGAAAACATGTTGAAAACAAACCTGTGTAAGCTACCAGGGCTGCGATGATGAGGAGTAAAATGCCCAGTGCGGTGTAGGGAATTAATGATTTTTCCGGAGTGCTGGCATAGCTATTCACCAGCAGCAGGAGGGAACCTGGAAGCCCAAAATCAGTTGTTACCCAGTTGCCAATTAAAATCCATCAGCTAGGCCTCAAATGGGTATCAATAAAAGAAATTGGAATGTCATAACATCTATAGCATATATCAGTCCTATAGTTTTGATTATTCCTGAGGCCATAGTAGCAATTATTTATATTTATTTAGGTCATCAGAATGGGAATTAAATTTAGAACAACCACATCAAGGACCAAGCCTCTGAACATGGGTTAAACATTTAAGCCCTGCACCTTGAGTTTCAATATACTTTTCTTACATATGAAATTGTAGAGTAACAGAATTTTCCAAATACCAGTATATTTTGTCATCATTAGGTATTTGAATAGCCGGAAAAGTGTAAGAGTATAAAGTATATACTGTTATTAACTCAGAGCAATACTCTCTCCTTCAGTTTCAGCCTTTTTACACAAGTTGGAAATAAAGCAAAAAGAGTAAGATATTTTATACACCTCAGGTAAAAGTATGATGATTCCAAGTTATAACTTAGCATAAATATGCTGATTGATATAAAAAAAATGTTCACCTGCAGAGATGCTGAGAATGCCGACAGACTCATCCAGTGAGCCGTGCTGAGCCATGACAGCAGTGTGTGTCTAAAGAGAGGCGTGATGGCTTTTATATGGTTAAGGGAGGGTGTCACCCAGGTAACAAGCCTTAACTTACAGGGAAGTTCCAGCTGGGACGGCCCCTGAAACTGCTCGTGCCGTGGACGTACACATAACCCCTGCCTCTTTTTTTTCCCTCAAAGAGCAGATTTCGATCAGCGTAGTTTAAAAGTTAACCTTTATGTAATCAAATCACCCAAAGGAAATAAACCGAGAACTTCTATACTAAAACAATTAACTCAAAAATCAGTTCTGCCTTATAGCTGCTAATATCATGTACTGTAGTTAGGTTATTTTTACCAGATCTTAAACTTTCTCTGCAAATCAAACTCCCTCAGACATTAGTGTTATCTTGTCTACTGACAAAAATAGGAAGTCTAAAGTAGTCAAACAAATTATATGTATTTAACTTTTGTACTTCAAATAGTTTTATATATATATATCAGCATTTAAAATAAAGTTTCAACACATTTGTGCTGCTTTAGTGGCACATTGTAATGCTGATGAGATAGTATGAGTCAGCAGTTTCTCCTAAAGGGTAACGGATCTTCCTGGTTACCTTTATGACACCTTAGAGAACAGGTTGTGGGAGGAGACAGGGCTATATAAGATGTTGCCTTGCTGCTCTGTCATCAAACCTCCACTGAGTAGCTCTTTAACTCACTCTGTGTCACCTACAACACCAGTTCAAGGTAAGACACCATCATCATTGTTACTTCACTGCCTTATTCTTTTAGAGAGTAGAACCAAGGGTGTTGATTTAAGTTAATGAAGGCAAAAACTAAGTGTGACGAGCCTAAATTGCTTTGTTTGTTTAAGGCTCTGGTACAGGCAGCAGGCTCTTGTGTATTCTATTTCCTTTCAGCAGAGTTACCTGGCAGCAGCAACTCTCCAGTGACTCATGTTTCACTTGGATTTGCTAATGTTTATATAAACCAAGTTGCACTTTTTTGACAATCATACTTTGTTATTTTGCCAATCTTTTTGGAAACCAAAGAGCTCAACATTTAAAGTGTTATTGAGTTTCTCTACATCTTTACTTTTTAATGGTTGTGGGTTTTTTTTAGTAATCATGGCGAAAAGTGTTGCAGTTATCCTGTCAGGCTGTGGAGTGTATGACGGCACAGAGATCCATGAGGCCTCTGCTGTCCTGGTCCATCTGAGTCGTGCCGGAGCAAAAGTAAGGACAAAAAAGTAGTATTTTTTATTTTTCAAGCTTCTGAAAAGATGTAAAAAAAAATGGCTACATTTTGGAGAGGTGAAAATAATGAATGCTGTTATTTCAGGTGCAGATGTTTGCTCCAGACGCTGATCAAATGCACGTTGTGAATCATTGTGTGGGAAAACCTACGAAGGAGAAGAGGAACATTCTGCAGGAAAGCGCCCGTATCGCCAGAGGCGACGTGACAGATCTGGCCAAGCTGGATGTCTCAGCATTTGATGCTGCCATCATTCCAGGTGAAATTACTTTCTATAGACCCAGTCACAGCTGGAAAAAATCCTCTGTAATGTCATTTTTGCATATATGTTTTCTCAACAACAGTTTGTTTTTCCATCAGGGGGGTTTGGTGTTGCAAAGAATCTGTGTGATTGGGCTGTGAAGAACAAGGATTTCACCATCCAGCCTCTCCTGGAGAAGATAATCAAGGATTTCCATAAAGCTGGAAAGCCTCTGGGCATGTGCTGCATTTCTCCTGTCCTGGCTGCAAAGCTGCTGCCTGGCTGTGAGCTCACTGTGGGGCAGGACAAAGAGTGTGAAAAGTATGTAACAATGCTTTTTCAAAAAAAAAAAAGAACATATTAACTTAAGAGATTTGTTGTGACCCTTCAATGTGTTTTTATCTTCAGGTGGCCGTATGCTCAGACAGCTGGAGCTATGAAGGACCTGGGCTGCAAACATGTGAACAAAGAGGTGGATGAAGCTCATGTTGATGTCAAAAACAAGCTGGTCACCACCTGTGCCTTCATGTGCAACGCTCCCTTTCACAAGATTTTTGATGGAATTGGCGTTATGGTTCAAGAAACTCTGAAACTGGCCTAAAACGAGTTTTATTTAATAACTGAAACATGAGTTTAAATCTGGATTTGAACATGAATTTTTTGTTTAATTCTAATCTATAGTATTCTTTTTGATGTTCATGTTGATTTTTTTTATTGTCAATAAAATCCCTTTCAAAAAATTATGATTATTTTAATTATTTTAAAATCAAATAGATGAGGTTTCTTTTATAGGAAAAACAATAAAATACTTTGCTGCAAATGCAATGATTATTACAGAGACCTGCAAGGGGGAACAATTGCTTTTAAATTATCAAAAAAGTAGGGCTACATTTCAATATATGGATAAAATTTTCTCCCATTACTACATATTTGGATCATGCTATTTCACTGGCTAGTAAATTACAAGCAGGGTAAACCCAGCCGACCACAAGATGAGATAGACACACACAACAAAACAATTCATGCATCATCTTGCAGCTGCAGAGGATATTAAGAATCTATAGTGTCAATTTTGAACATTCAAAAAAATGTTTGCAATTATTTAGATAACTATGGAAAACTTAAGGAGAAGGACTATTTGACTTTATTAGTAACTATAAGTAGGTGTATTTAGGTACTGCTTAGCCGATGCTGAAAATCCTTAAACATCTTTTTAAATTAAATGACTGGTGCTAAAGATTTAGTAGTGAACAGACATTTGAAAAAAAAACCAAAAGAGCATCAATGCAAATTCTATTAATCTCTTCATTTTAATTTGTCAGTAAAAATAGAGCTCCAACCACTGAGCAGATAAATTTAGATAGAATTTGCCAGTTGATCAGGAGACAAAAATGAAAACATTTAAAACTGAAGAGATGCCCTCTCTACCTCTTTTTTTCTATTCAGCCTTGTCTTGCTTCCTACATTAACTGGTCAAACTAGCTGTGATCCCCAGTTCTAAGATAAAAATAAACAGGGAAAATGGTTGCATTGTGAAATTAAGGATGATAAAGTACTGCTTTGAAAGTCGGTGTGGTGGTTTTGAAACATACACATGCCTCTTGGGTCGTTACGAATCACAACAAATCATCATAAATCATTTGTATCTCAATAGATAGAAATATCTGTTATACATACATTAGAAAAATGTCACTGTTGGTTAAATAACCCAAAAAGTAAACAATGACCATTTATGGCTGTGATCAGGGTTAGATTAGGCTGATAACTTCTATACTATAGCAAGTGACTCAGACAACATTTCTGCCTTATAGTTGCTAATATCATGTAGTTAAATGATTTTTACCAGATCTTAAACTTTCTCTGCAAATGGAACTCCCTAAGACATTAGCATGTGTCATATGATAAAATGAGAAATGTAACAAAAATAGGAAATCTAAAGCAGTCAAACAATTATATGTATTTAACAAAATAAAACAAGCCACAATTAAAAATAAATCTATTACAATTTTCCCCTAACTGTAACAAAGCAACTGTTGATAAGATAAAAGCAGCGTTCACGTTTTCCTTTATTAAAACATTCTTAAATGGTAATGCTGCCCTCTGGTGATCTCAACAGGTAACTGCACCCAGTTAATAACATCCTGGAACTTTTTAAAATGTTTATCATTTCAACATCACACATTCAGTTTATTTAATGGAATTTTGTTTGATATAACCTACAGTATGTAGTGTATAATGAAGCTTGCTGCAAAGTGGTTATCAGTTGGTAATCTTTAGCCCCATTTGATTAGACTCCCATTGATAAAATTAATTTGCACAAATGATCCTAATAAATAATATTATGAGAAAGAAGGGGCAGCATCCATTTAATGTATTCTTTGAATATTTAATCTATCATACATTGAATGAGAATTGAATGAAGGTCATACAACTGCCAATCTAACAAGTAAATCTGAAAAATGTCATATTGGGAAAGGAAAGCAGAGAAGAGCATATGAGGCTAAATGGAACAAGTGCATTTTCCCAGTCGGTGGGATCTGTGGTAATTTGTGTGTCCCTCATCCGGACTTCTGCAGTATAAATCCAGTGAACATCTGGTAAATTGCATCCTACATACTACCTGTGCTAAGTCCTTCCTATCTTGTACCTTGCAGCTCTTACATCCCAATTTCATGCCGAGTCACGTGCCGCCTTTAATTGTTCACCTGTGAGATTTATGAGCAGCTAAGACAAAAGTTCATTTAGTTTCAACTTCATAAAAAGATGGCTGCTCTTTACCAGGTGAGAGATGTTCTCAATCCAAAATAGATTGAAGGAAATTTGAAAAGCAAGGAATTTTATGCTGTCCGCATGCATCGCCGCCCAGAGGCGTAGCCAGAAAATTTTTATAAGGGTGACGAGGCAAAAACCAATGTACACTGAGGGGTGGCCAAAAGTAGATAGGCACCAAAACCTCAAGGTGAATCTACAATGTCCCAACAGGAAAATTAATGAGCAAAACATCTATATTTTCTAAATAAAGACAAACTATATTTTCTCACAGCCTTTGCTAACAAATAGACTAATAATATTCAAACGTTCGTGCTTTCTAGATAAAAGGTATAATGGATAAAATTGTTTCAGGTTCGAGCTTTGGGCAAACATCTTTTCCATTGTCATTACTTACCTATTTTTTCAGTAATCGTTATGCATACAATTGATATTTATAATTACAAATATCTACATAAATTGATTATTTAATACGTTTTTATTAAAAGAGTAATTTATTATTTCACCGAAGACTCCTAGATGACTTTTCTCTTTACCCCATAAAATCGAACAAAATCTATTGAATTCTGTATTTATCATCTTTAATGTTATTATGTTATTGATGTGCATAATTAACCACAGTGTTTTTGTTGTTCATATATGAAAAATTAAAATGTTTTGAATATTCCACTTCAGAGTATTACTGTTGACACCGTCTGTATTAGAGGGAAATAAATGGTAGGGTGGCCAATGATTGGCTTAGGGTGGCAACGGCCACCTCTGGCCCCGCATCTAGCTCCGCCCCTGTCGCTACCTCCCCCTCTACGTATTCCACTATAATTCCCTTGGTCTTGCTGGTGATCACGATAAGGTTCTTCCTGTGACAGACTGTGGACCCTTTCTCTGTAACAGTTCTCCTCATTGCTATAGTAAGTCATAAAATTTTAATAGGTTAGATTTGATAGATGGAACTAAATACAAGAATATTTTAAGAAAATATTTTAAAGACAAGAGGTATTTTAGATTAGAACATATTTCTTTTTCAGATTAGCCAAATCAAAGTACAAAGCTGAATTCAGCTTAACAAAGCAAGTATTGAAAATAAACATTTCATTTTAAGTTTTAAACTTGTTCTTACCATTTTCCTGCCATAATTGAGTTGAATTGAAGTTGGTGTCATCTGTTAATAGGACGTTCTGCGGCATTTGATTTTTTAGAGAAAACTACTTTTCAAAAAATTATGAACACCTTTACATAGCAATTTACGAACAGGATTGTCCGTAGCTTATCAACCTTATAAATTATTGTAACACACCTGAATTGTTTTGAATCAATCTGCTAATCCACCTTTTTTTCAGTTAGCGTGCTGTTTGGATACATTTATGGTCCTTAGCACACATTTGCATGACCAAAACAGGAATTTTTCACAGGTTACATCTGACTGAAGTTGTTTCCATTGTTGGATGAGGATAAATGCGATTTAATTCAATTGTTCAGAATAGCTGCACACTTTCATGCACTTCCACACAAAGTACACTCATCGGCCACTTTATTAGGTACCCCATGTTAGTAATGGGTTGGACCTCCTTTTGCCTTCAGAACTGCCTCAATTCTTCGTGGCATAGATTCAACAAGGTGCTGGAAGCATTCCTCAGGGAGTTTGGTCCATATTGACATGATGGCATCACACAGTTGCCGCAGACTTCTTGGCTGCGCATTCATGATGCGAATCCCCCGTTCCACCACATCCCAAAGATGCTCTATTGGAT